CGTTCTCGCACGCATCGCCCTGCCCGTCGCCGTCCGTGTCCAGCTGGTCCGCGTTCGGCGTCAGCGGGCAGTTGTCGTCGCCGTCCAGGACGCCGTCGTTGTCGTCGTCCGCGTCGCACACGTCGCCCTCGCCGTCGCCGTCGGTGTCCACCTGCCGCGGGTTGCTCGCCGCCGGACAGTTGTCGTTCGCCGTGCCCGTCTCGACACCGCCCGCCGCCGTGTTGTCAGACACACCGTCCCTGTCCGCGTCCGGGCACCCGATAAACACCTGCGACGCCGGCACGCCCGCCTCCGCCGCCGTCACCACGTTCGTCACGTCGTTCACCGGCGTCGTCAGACACTCGTCCACGTCGTCCGTCACGCCGTCGCCGTCGCGGTCGTTCACGCCCGTGCACGCGCCCTCCGTCGAGCCCTCGCACGCGTCGCCGCACCCGTCGCCGTCCAGGTCCGCCTGCCCCGCGTTGGCTGTCAGCGGACAGTTGTCCACCGGGTCGCCGTTCGCGTCCTCGTCGGCCACGTTGTCGCCATCCGTGTCCTTGCAGCCCGCGTTCGCCAGACCAGCAGGCACCACGCCCGAGTCGTTCACCGGCCCGTCCGGGCACGTGTCGTCCGCGTTCGCCACGCCGTCGCCGTCGACATCGCTGTCGCACGCGTCGCCGAAGCCGTCGCCGTCCAAGTCCGCCTGGTCCGTTCGCAGTGCCCAGGCAGTTGTCCACCTGCGCGCCGCTCGCGTCCGTGTCCGCCACGTCGTCGCCGTCCGCGTCCGGGCACCCCGGCAGCGTGCCAGTCAGGCTCACCACACCGCCCACGCCGTTCACCGGGCCCGCCGGGCACTGGTCCTGCGCGTTCGGAATGCCGTCGCCGTCCACGTCGCTGTCGCACGCGTCGCCCACGGCGTCGCCGTCCAGGTCGGCCTGGTCCGAGTTCGCCACCACGCGGCAGTTGTCGTTCGCGGCACTGCCCTCCGCGCCGCCCACCGGCACAAAGTCCGACACTCCGTCGCCGTCGCTGTCGATGCACCCCAGGTACACCTGCGACGCCGGCACGCCCGCCGAGCTCGTCGCGTTCACCGCGTACACCGTCCGGCCCGCTGCCGTGCGGTTGTTCACCGGCGACGCCAGACACAGGTCCACGTCGTCCTGCACGCCGTCACCGTCCACGTCCTTGAAGCCCGTGCACACGCCCTCCGTCGTGCCCTCGCACGCGTCGCCGCACCCGTCGCCGTCCAGGTCCGCCTGCCCAGCGTTGGCCGTCAGCGGACAGTTGTCCAGCCGCTGCCCACCGGGCGTGAAGTCCGCCACGTTGTCCTCGTCGCTGTCCAGGCAGCCCGGGTACGTCGAGCTCAGGTCCGTCACGCGCACGTTGTCGTTCACCGGCCCGGTCTTGCACACGTCGTCGCCGTCCAGGATGCCGTCGTTGTCGTCATCCGGGTCGCACACGTCGCCCTCGCCGTCGCCGTCCAGGTCCGCCTGCGTCGGGTTGCTCGCCGCCGGACAGTTGTCGTTCGCCGTGCCCGTCTCAGCACCGCCCGCCGCCGTGTTGTCAGACACACCGTCCCTGTCCGTGTCCGGGCACCCGATAAACACCTGCGACGCCGGCACGCCCGCCTCCGCCGCCGTCACCACGTTCGTCACGTCGTTCACCGGCGTCGTCAGACACTCGTCCACGTCGTCCGTCACGCCGTCGCCGTCGCGGTCGTTCACGCCCGTGCACGCGCCCTCCGTCGAGCCCTCGCACGCGTCGCCGCACCCGTCGCCGTCCAGGTCCGCCTGCCCCGCGTTGGCTGTCAGCGGACAGTTGTCCACCGGGTCGCCGTTCGCGTCCTCGTCGGCCACGTTGTCGCCATCCGTGTCCTTGCAGCCCGCGTTCGCCAGACCAGCAGGCACCACGCCCGAGTCGTTCACCGGCCCGTCCGGGCACGTGTCGTCCGCGTTCGCCACGCCGTCGCCGTCGACATCGCTGTCGCACGCGTCGCCCTCGCCGTCGCCGTCCAGGTCCGCCTGCGTCGGGTTGCTCGCCGCCGGACAGTTGTCGTTCGCCGTGCCCGTCTCGACACCGCCCGCCGCCTTGTTGTCAGACACACCGTCCCTGTCCGTGTCCGGGCACCCGATAAACACCTGCGACGCCGGCACGCCCGCCTCCGCCGCCGTCACCACGTTCGTCACGTCGTTCACCGGCGTCGTCAGACACTCGTCCACGTCGTCCGTCACGCCGTCGCCGTCGCGGTCGTTCACGCCCGTGCACGCACCCTCCGTCGAGCCCTCGCACGCGTCGCCGCACCCGTCGCCGTCCAGGTCCGCCTGCCCCGCGTTGGCCGTCAGCGGACAGTTGTCCACCGGGTCGCCGTTCGCGTCCTCGTCGGCCACGTTGTCGCCATCCGTGTCCTTGCAGCCCGCGTTCGCCAGACCAGCAGGCACCACGCCCGAGTCGTTCACCGGCCCGTCCGGGCACGTGTCGTCCGCGTTCGCCACGCCGTCGCCGTCGACATCGCTGTCGCACGCGTCGCCGAAGCCGTCGCCGTCCAAGTCCGCCTGGTCCGCGTTCGCAGTGCCCAGGCAGTTGTCCACCTGCGCGCCGCTCGCGTCCGTGTCCGCCACGTCGTCGCCGTCCGCGTCCGGGCACCCCGGCAGCGTGCCAGTCAGGCTCACCACACCGCCCACGCCGTTCACCGGGCCCGCCGGGCACTGGTCCTGCGCGTTCGGAATGCCGTCGCCGTCCACGTCGCTGTCGCACGCGTCGCCCACGGCGTCGCCGTCCAGGTCGGCCTGGTCCGAGTTCGCCACCACGCGGCAGTTGTCGTTCGCGGCACTGCCCTCCGCGCCGCCCACCGGCACGAAGTCCGACACTCCATCACCGTCGCTGTCGATGCACCCAAGGTACACCTGCGACGCCGGCACGCCCGCCGAGCTCGTCGCGTTCACCGCGTACACCGTCCGGCCCGCTGCCGTGCGGTTGTTCACCGGCGACGCCAGACACAGGTCCACGTCGTCCTGCACGCCGTCACCGTCCACATCCTTGAAGCCCGTGCACACGCCCTCCGTCGTGCCCTCGCACGCGTCGCCGCACCCGTCGCCGTCCAGGTCCGCCTGCCCAGCGTTGGCCGTCAGCGGACAGTTGTCCAGCCGCTGCCCACCGGGCGTGAAGTCCGCCACGTTGTCCTCGTCGCTGTCCAGGCAGCCCGGGTACGTCGAGCTCAGGTCCGTCACGCGCACGTTGTCGTTCACCGGCCCGGTCTTGCACACGTCGTCGCCGTCCAGGATGCCGTCGTTGTCGTCGTCCGCGTCGCACACGTCGCCCTCGCCGTCGCCGTCGAGGTCCGCCTGCGTCGGGTTGCTCGCCGCCGGACAGTTGTCGTTCGCCGTGCCCGTCTCGACACCGCCCGCCGCCGTGTTGTCAGACACACCGTCCCTGTCCGCGTCCGGGCACCCGATAAACACCTGCGACGCCGGCACGCCCGCCTCCGCCGCCGTCACCACGTTCGTCACGTCGTTCACCGGCGTCGTCAGACACTCGTCCACGTCGTCCGTCACGCCGTCGCCGTCGCGGTCGTTCACGCCCGTGCACGCGCCCTCCGTCGAGCCCTCGCACGCGTCGCCGCACCCGTCGCCGTCCAGGTCCGCCTGCCCCGCGTTGGCTGTCAGCGGACAGTTGTCCACCGGGTCGCCGTTCGCGTCCTCGTCGGCCACGTTGTCGCCGTCCGTGTCCTTGCAGCCCGCGTTCGCCAGACCAGCAGGCACCACGCCCGAGTCGTTCACCGGCCCGTCCGGGCACGTGTCGTCCGCGTTCGCCACGCCGTCGCCGTCGACATCGCTGTCGCACGCGTCGCCGAAGCCGTCGCCGTCCAAGTCCGCCTGGTCCGCGTTCGCAGTGCCCAGGCAGTTGTCCACCTGCGCGCCGCTCGCGTCCGTGTCCGCCACGTCGTCGCCGTCCGCGTCCGGGCACCCCGGCAGCGTGCCAGTCAGGCTCACCACACCGCCCACGCCGTTCACCGGGCCCGCCGGGCACTGGTCCTGCGCGTTCGGAATGCCGTCGCCGTCCACGTCGCTGTCGCACGCGTCGCCCACGGCGTCGCCGTCCAGGTCGGCCTGGTCCGAGTTCGCCACCACGCGGCAGTTGTCGTTCGCGGCACTGCCCTCCGCGCCGCCCACCGGCACAAAGTCCGACACTCCGTCGCCGTCGCTGTCGATGCACCCCAGGTACACCTGCGACGCCGGCACGCCCGCCGAGCTCGTCGCGTTCACCGCGTACACCGTCCGGCCCGCTGCCGTGCGGTTGTTCACCGGCGACGCCAGACACAGGTCCACGTCGTCCTGCACGCCGTCACCGTCCACATCCTTGAAGCCCGTGCACACGCCCTCCGTCGTGCCCTCGCACGCGTCGCCGCACCCGTCGCCGTCCAGGTCCGCCTGCCCAGCGTTGGCCGTCAGCGGACAGTTGTCCAGCCGCCGCCCACCGGGCGTGAAGTCCGCCACGTTGTCCTCGTCGCTGTCCAGGCAGCCCGGGTACGTCGAGCTCAGGTCCGTCACGCGCACGTTGTCGTTCACCGGCCCGGTCTTGCACACGTCGTCGTCGTCCAGGATGCCGTCGTTGTCGTCATCCGGGTCGCACTCGTCGCCGATGCCGTCGCCATCCAGGTCCGCCTGGTCGGCGTTCGGCACCTTCGGGCAGTTGTCATCGCCGTCCGGCACGCCGTCGTTGTCGTCGTCGTTCTCGCACGCGTCGCCCTGCCCGTCGCCGTCCGTGTCAAGCTGGTCCGCGTTCGGCGTCAGCGGGCAGTTGTCGTCGCCGTCCAGGACGCCGTCGTTGTCGTCGTCCGCGTCGCACACGTCGCCAATGCCGTCACCGTCGGTGTCCACCTGCCGCGGGTTGCTCGCCGCCGGACAGTTGTCGTTCGCCGTGCCCGTCTCAGCACCGCCCGCCGCCGTATTGTCAGACACACCGTCCCTGTCCGCGTCCGGGCACCCGATAAACACCTGCGACGCCGGCACGCCCGCCTCCGCCGCCGTCACCACGTTCGTCACGTCGTTCACCGGCGTCGTCAGACACTCGTCCACGTCGTCCGTCACGCCGTCGCCGTCGCGGTCGTTCACGCCCGTGCACACGCCCTCCGTCGAGCCCTCGCACGCGTCGCCGCACCCGTCGCCGTCCAGGTCCGCCTGCCCCGCGTTGGCCGTCAGCGGACAGTTGTCCACCGGGTCGCCGTTCGCGTCCTCGTCGGCCACGTTGTCGCCATCCGTGTCCTTGCAGCCCGCGTTCGCCAGACCAGCAGGCACCACGCCCGAGTCGTTCACCGGCCCGTCCGGGCACGTGTCGTCCGCGTTCGCCACGCCGTCGCCGTCGACATCGCTGTCGCACGCGTCGCCCGCGCCGTCGCCGTCCAGGTCCGCCTGGTTCGCGTTCGCAGTGCCCAGGCAGTTGTCCACCTGCGCGCCGCTCGCGTCCGTGTCCGCCACGTCGTCGCCGTCCGCGTCCGGGCACCCCGGCAACGTGCCAGTCAGGCTCACCACACCGCCCACGCCGTTCACCGGGCCCGCCGGGCACTGGTCCTGCGCGTTCGGAATGCCGTCGCCGTCCACGTCGCTATCGCACGCGTCGCCCACGGCGTCGCCGTCCAGGTCGGCCTGGTCCGAGTTCGCCACCACGCGGCAGTTGTCGTTCGCGGCACTGCCCTCCGCGCCGCCCACCGGCACAAAGTCCGACACTCCGTCGCCGTCGCTGTCGATGCACCCCAGGTACACCTGCGACGCCGGCACGCCCGCCGAGCTCGTCGCGTTCACCGCGTACACCGTCCGGCCCGCTGCCGTGCGGTTGTTCACCGGCGACGCCAGACACAGGTCCACGTCGTCCTGCACGCCGTCACCGTCCACATCCTTGAAGCCCGTGCACACGCCCTCCGTCGTGCCCTCGCACGCGTCGCCGCACCCGTCGCCGTCCAGGTCCGCCTGCCCAGCGTTGGCCGTCAGCGGACAGTTGTCCAGCCGCCGCCCACCGGGCGTGAAGTCCGCCACGTTGTCCTCGTCGCTGTCCAGGCAGCCCGGGTACGTCGAGCTCAGGTCCGTCACGCGCACGTTGTCGTTGATCGGGCCCGTCGGACACACGTCGTCGCCGTCCAGGATGCCGTCGTTGTCGTCGTCCGCGTCGCACACGTCGCCCTCGCCGTCGCCGTCCAGGTCCGCCTGCGTCGGGTTGCTCGCCGCCGGACAGTTGTCGTTCGCCGTGCCCGTCTCAGCACCGCCCGCCGCCGTGTTGTCAGACACACCGTCCCTGTCCGCGTCCGGGCACCCGATAAACACCTGCGACGCCGGCACGCCCGCCTCCGCCGCCGTCACCACGTTCGTCACGTCGTTCACCGGCGTCGTCAGACACTCGTCCACGTCGTCCGTCACGCCGTCGCCGTCGCGGTCGTTCACGCCCGTGCACGCGCCCTCCGTCGAGCCCTCGCACGCGTCGCCGCACCCGTCGCCGTCCAGGTCCGCCTGCCCCGCGTTGGCCGTCAGCGGACAGTTGTCCACCGGGTCGCCGTTCGCGTCCTCGTCGGCCACGTTGTCGCCATCCGTGTCCTTGCAGCCCGCGTTCGCCAGACCAGCAGGCACCACGCCCGAGTCGTTCACCGGCCCGTCCGGGCACGTGTCGTCCGCGTTCGCCACGCCGTCGCCGTCGACATCGCTGTCGCACGCGTCGCCCTCGCCGTCGCCGTCCAGGTCCGCCTGCGTCGGGTTGCTCGCCGCCGGACAGTTGTCGTTCGCCGTGCCCGTCTCGACACCGCCCGCCGCCTTGTTGTCAGACACACCGTCCCTGTCCGTGTCCGGGCACCCGATAAACACCTGCGACGCCGGCACGCCCGCCTCCGCCGCCGTCACCACGTTCGTCACGTCGTTCACCGGCGTCGTCAGACACTCGTCCACGTCGTCCGTCACGCCGTCGCCGTCGCGGTCGTTCACGCCCGTGCACGCACCCTCCGTCGAGCCCTCGCACGCGTCGCCGCACCCGTCGCCGTCCAGGTCCGCCTGCCCCGCGTTGGCCGTCAGCGGACAGTTGTCCACCGGGTCGCCGTTCGCGTCCTCGTCGGCCACGTTGTCGCCATCCGTGTCCTTGCAGCCCGCGTTCGCCAGACCAGCAGGCACCACGCCCGAGTCGTTCACCGGCCCGTCCGGGCACGTGTCGTCCGCGTTCGCCACGCCGTCGCCGTCGACATCGCTGTCGCACGCGTCGCCGAAGCCGTCGCCGTCCAAGTCCGCCTGGTCCGCGTTCGCAGTGCCCAGGCAGTTGTCCACCTGCGCGCCGCTCGCGTCCGTGTCCGCCACGTCGTCGCCGTCCGCGTCCGGGCACCCCGGCAGCGTGCCAGTCAGGCTCACCACACCGCCCACGCCGTTCACCGGGCCCGCCGGGCACTGGTCCTGCGCGTTCGGAATGCCGTCGCCGTCCACGTCGCTGTCGCACGCGTCGCCCACGGCGTCGCCGTCCAGGTCGGCCTGGTCCGAGTTCGCCACCACGCGGCAGTTGTCGTTCGCGGCACTGCCCTCGCGCCTCAAGTTGACGTTGGGAACGAAGTCAGACACTCCGTCGCCGTCGCTGTCGATGCACCCCAGGTACACCTGCGACGCAGGCACGCCCGCCGAGCTCGTCGCGTTCACCGCGTACACCGTCCGGCCCGCTGCCGTGCGGTTGTTCACCGGCGACGCCAGACACAGGTCCACGTCGTCCTGCACGCCGTCACCGTCCACATCCTTGAAGCCCGTGCACACGCCCTCCGTCGTGCCCTCGCACGCGTCGCCGCACCCGTCGCCGTCCAGGTCCGCCTGCCCAGGGTTGGCCGTCAGCGGACAGTTGTCCAGCCGCCGCCCACCGGGCGTGAAGTCCGCCACGTTGTCCTCGTCGCTGTCCAGGCAGCCCGGGTACGTCGAGCTCAGGTCCGTCACGCGCACGTTGTCGTTGATCGGGCCCGTCGGACACACGTCGTCGCTGTCCAGGACGCCGTCGTTGTCGTCGTCCGCGTCGCACACGTCGCCCTCGCCGTCGCCGTCAAAGTCCGCCTGCGTCGGGTTGCTCGCCGCCGGACAGTTGTCGTTCGCCGTGCCCGTCTCAGCACCGCCCGCCGCCGTGTTGTCAGACACACCGTCCCTGTCCGCGTCCGGGCACCCGATAAACACCTGCGACGCCGGCACGCCCGCCTCCGCCGCCGTCACCACGTTCGTCACGTCGTTCACCGGCGTCGTCAGACACTCGTCCACGTCGTCCGTCACGCCGTCGCCGTCGCGGTCGTTCACGCCCGTGCACGCGCCCTCCGTCGAGCCCTCGCACGCGTCGCCCGCACCCGTCGCCGTCCAGGTCCGCCTGCCCCGCGTTGGCCGTCAGCGGACAGTTGTCCACCGGGTCGCCGTTCGCGTCCTCGTCGGCCACGTTGTCGCCATCCGTGTCCTTGCAGCCCGCGTTCGCCAGACCAGCAGGCACCACGCCCGAGTCGTTCACCGGCCCGTCCGGGCACGTGTCGTCCGCGTTCGCCACGCCGTCGCCGTCGACATCGCTGTCGCACGCGTCGCCGAAGCCGTCGCCGTCCAAGTCCGCCTGGTCCGCGTTCGCAGTGCCCAGGCAGTTGTCCACCTGCGCGCCGCTCGCGTCCGTGTCCGCCACGTCGTCGCCGTCCGCGTCCGGGCACCCCGGCAGCGTGCCAGTCAGGCTCACCACACCGCCCACGCCGTTCACCGGGCCCGCCGGGCACTGGTCCTGCGCGTTCGGAATGCCGTCGCCGTCCACGTCGCTGTCGCACGCGTCGCCCACGGCGTCGCCGTCCAGGTTGGCCTGGTCCGAGTTCGCCACCACGCGGCAGTTGTCGTTCGCGGCACTGCCCTCGCGCCTCAAGTTGACGTTGGGAACGAAGTCAGACACTCCGTCGCCGTCGCTGTCGATGCACCCCAGGTACACCTGCGACGCCGGCACGCCCGCCGAGCTCGTCGCGTTCACCGCGTACACCGTCCGGCCCGCTGCCGTGCGGTTGTTCACCGGCGACGCCAGACACAGGTCCACGTCGTCCTGCACGCCGTCACCGTCCACATCCTTGAAGCCCGTGCACACGCCCTCCGTCGTGCCCTCGCACGCGTCGCCGCACCCGTCGCCGTCCAGGTCCGCCTGCCCAGCGTTGGCCGTCAGCGGACAGTTGTCCAGCCGCCGCCCACCGGGCGTGAAGTCCGCCACGTTGTCCTCGTCGCTGTCCAGGCAGCCCGGGTACGTCGAGCTCAGGTCCGTCACGCGCACGTTGTCGTTCACCGGCCCGGTCTTGCACACGTCGTCGTCGTCCAGGATGCCGTCGTTGTCGTCATCCGGGTCGCACTCGTCGCCGATGCCGTCGCCATCCAGGTCCGCCTGGTCGGCGTTCGGCACCTTCGGGCAGTTGTCATCGCCGTCCGGCACGCCGTCGTTGTCGTCGTCGTTCTCGCACGCGTCGCCCTGCCCGTCGCCGTCCGTGTCCAGCTGGTCCGCGTTCGGCGTCAGCGGGCAGTTGTCGTCGCCGTCCAGGACGCCGTCGTTGTCGTCGTCCGCGTCGCACACGTCGCCAATGCCGTCGCCGTCGGTGTCCACCTGCCGCGGGTTGCTCGCCGCCGGACAGTTGTCGTTCGCCGTGCCCGTCTCGACACCGCCCGCCGCCGTGTTGTCAGACACACCGTCCCTGTCCGCGTCCGGGCACCCGATAAACACCTGCGACGCCGGCACGCCCGCCTCCGCCGCCGTCACCACGTTCGTCACGTCGTTCACCGGCGTCGTCAGACACTCGTCCACGTCGTCCGTCACGCCGTCGCCGTCGCGTCGTTCACGCCCGTGCACACGCCCTCCGTCGTGCCCTCGCACGCGTCGCCGCACCCGTCGCCGTCCAGGTCCGCCTGCCCCGCGTTGGCCGTCAGCGGACAGTTGTCCACCGGGTCGCCGTTCGCGTCCTCGTCGGCCACGTTGTCGCCGTCCGTGTCCTTGCAGCCCGCGTTCGCCAGACCAGCAGGCACCACGCCCGAGTCGTTCACCGGCCCGTCCGGGCACGTGTCGTCCGCGTTCGCCACGCCGTCGCCGTCGACATCGCTGTCGCACGCGTCGCCGAAGCCGTCGCCGTCCAAGTCCGCCTGGTCCGCGTTCGCAGTGCCCAGGCAGTTGTCCACCTGCGCGCCGCTCGCGTCCGTGTCCGCCACGTCGTCGCCGTCCGCGTCCGGGCACCCCGGCAGCGTGCCAGTCAGGCTCACCACACCGCCCACGCCGTTCACCGGGCCCGCCGGGCACTGGTCCTGCGCGTTCGGAATGCCGTCGCCGTCCACGTCGCTATCGCACACGTCGCCGATGCCGTCGCCGTCGATGTCCCTCTGATTGGCGTTCGCTACCTTGGGGCAGTTGTCGCTCACGTCCGGCACGCCATCATTGTCGTCGTCCGGGTCGCACGCGTCACCCTTCCCATCGTTGTCCGTGTCCAGTTGGTCCGGATTGGCGCCCTTGGGGCAGTTGTCGCTCACGTCAGGCACGCCATCGTTGTCGTCGTCGCTGTCGCACACGTCCCCGTCCCCATCACAGTCGTTGTCCTCCTGCCGGGGGTTTGCCACCAGTCGGCAGTTGTCCCACGCCTGGACACCCTCAAATCCGTCGTCAGGAACGAAGTCAGGGATGCCATCCCGATCCGAGTCAAGGCAGCCCAGGCCGTAAATTGGCGGGAACACGGGACCTGTGCTGCTGCAAGTGCCGGTGTACAGCCCGAGGTCATATGTGACGTTCGTCCTGACGACGGGCTGGCCGACAGGTGTGTTGGCACACTGGTCAGGACAGCGGCCGAGCTGGCACGTCGTCCCGACTCCGTCGGGGTTGTCGTCGTACCCGTCGCCATCCACATCGCTGTCGCAAACATCACCCTTGCCGTCGCCGTCAGTGTCAAGTCCTTGCGAGCCAGCGTTTGACACCGTCGGGCAGTTGTCGACGATGTTCGAGAATCCATCGCCATCTTCGTCGCAGCAACCGTCGAACTCAGACACGAATTGGCAGCCATACGGAGTGAACTCATCCACGATGGTCGCATTCCCCCACAACTGCTTAGGACAGTCGTCATCCCCGTCGTCGATGCCATCGTGGTCGTCGTCGTCGTTGCAGGCATCGCCAGATACCGTCTTCGCCGGCCAAGTGAGCAGCTGGTCACCGTCAGGGTCCCCGCTGACCAGTTCAAGCAATCCGTTCTTCACGAAGCGGCAGTTGTCCCACGGAACCGAACCTTCTCTTCCATCGCCAGATGGGAAGAAGTCAGCCACGTTGTCCTCATCTGAGTCGGCGCAGCCAAGAGCTGCACCGTACATAGGGAGCCTGAGGTTGACAACAGGGACTCCTAGCGGGGTGTTCCAGCACTTGTCGTCGCACGGTCCGTCGCACGGCTGGTCGGTTGTGCTCAGATCCTGTAGACCGTCATTGTCGCGATCGGGGTCGCATGCATTGCCGATGCCGTCGCCGTCCCAGTCGAGTTGGCTAGGGTTCGCGATCAGGCGGCAATTGTCATCCGGTAGTGACGTGCTGGCCGTGCCTTCGATGCTAATCTGTGTGAGACTATCGGAGAGCTCGACCGTCACGGGCAGGAAGTCCCGAACGCCGTCGCCGTCGGTGTCGACGCAGCCGTCAGAAGCAACCGTCGAGTTGAAGGGGGTGTTCAAGCAGTCGTCCTGAACGTCGAGAACGCGGTCCCCGTCCATGTCCGTGTCGCACTTGTCGCCAACACCGTCTCCGTCGAAGTCTGGCTGTGCGAATCGCGTCGTGAACGGAGTGCGTCCCCAGCCGTAGACAGGTGGGTTGTTGTTCCGCCGCTTGGGGTTGAACACTCGAGGGCAGTTGTCGGGGCAGAGCCCGTCAACATCATCGCAAGATACACCGTCGCTATCTTCATCGTAGCAACCGTCCGAAGCGATTGGTCGCCTCATGTCGCTAGGGCACCTGTCAGCCGCATTCAAGACACCATCACCATCGACATCGTCGTCGCATGCATCGCCCTTGCCGTCGCCATCGGTGTCCACCTGAGCAAACTCATACACGGAGGGGCAAAGGTCGACGGAGTTTGCCACACCGTCCCCATCCTTGTCGCAACACC